GATCTTCGAGGGAATCAAGGAGACAGCTGGAGAAAGCTGGACGGAAGCGGAGTGTAAGGTGAAGGAGATTTTACAGGACAAACTGCAAATTCATCAAGATGTAGAGATGGAACTGCTTTACAGAGTCGGTAAACATTCTGATATGGGACCGAGGGCGGTGATGGTTAAGTTGATGAAGGAGAAAGACAAGACAAACACTCTGCAGCAAGCCAAGAAGCTTAAGGGAACCAAGATTTACATCAACGAAGATTACCCCGAGTCTGTGAGGAAGAGAAGAAAAGAGTTGATGCCGATGTTAAGAGTGGCTAGGGAGAGAGGAGAAATCGCGTTTCTGCAATATGACAAATTGGTGACCCGACCTCGGAACCAGGATCTTGGACCCATGACCAGTACGTCGAGACAAGGAGAGTATGAAGGAGCCACTGGACCATCAGCGGTCTGAAGAAACTTGCAGGTATATTGATATCTGCGATGGCAGATGAGCTTTGGAAACAACAATAACAAGCATGACCAATGGACGATATGAGGCAAGTGATTTGCGATCTGGATTTGGAGACACTGAAATTCATTATCATGAACCGGACGATGGCTTTGACCCAGAAAAAAACTTTTTCATGAACTTTGAAAATAACTGCAAGTATTACACGGATGAGCAGTTTAACAGCAATGTCAAGACTGAAAACAAATTATCACTAATTCATTTTAATAGCAGAAGTCTATACGCAAACTTTCAGAGTATATAACATTATCTTTGTAGTCTTACACATTCTTTTAATATAATTGCTATTTCTGAAACTTGGATTAATAATGTAAGGGGAGTGGATTTTGACCTTGATGGGTACGACTTGGTATGCACAAACAGAGAGAATAAGATGGGAGGTGGTGTGGCTTTGTACATAGATAAAAACTTTTGTTATGAGAAAGTGGAGAAAATGTCAAGGGTGGTGGATAATTTGCTGGAGTGTGTGACTGTAGAAATACTTGTGGAAAAAAAAAATGTTGTAGTAAGCTGTATTTATAGAGCACCCTTAGCCAGCATAGAAAAATTTAATCACTGGATGGAGGAGAACTACTCGACAATAAGTCATAAATTAATGTTCATATGTGGTGACTTCAATATAAATTTGTTAAATCCTAACAAGCACACAGGAACGGAGGAGTTTATTAACACATTACATAGATGCAGTTTATACCCAAAAATTTTTAAACCAAGTAGATTAACAACACAGCATGTGACACTAATAGATAATATATTTACCAATGATATTGAAAGCAAAATGACAAGTGGATTACTTATAAATGATATTAGTGATCATCTACCTGTATTTTTGGTTTATGACTGCCATTTTAGAAAAGAGAGGCCAAAAACAAATCTGTTCTACAGGAGGGTGATTAATGAACAAGCTGTAAGGAGGCTTAAGGAGGACTTAGGGGGGCAGGACTGGGAA